GACCCCCACCTGGTATGGCCTCCTGGGAACCTGTGCTCATGCCAACCCGGATCTAGAGCCATATGCTGTGTGTGGACAGGACGGGCCCCCTCTCTCCTCGGAAGTCCACACAGGCCAAAAGAAAGCCATGGGGAGGGACCCTACCACTCACAGGCCCCAGCATTATTGCTGCCACGCCCCACCAGCCCTGGGGGTGGTCTGAATTTTCGGGAAACAGTCAAAACATGGAACTGCTGAAACCAGCCACCGCAGGGACAGTCCCAACTTACAAAACCAAACCAAACCAAGCTCACTGCCATCGAGTCGATGCCGACATACGGCACTCTCATAGGACAGTCTAGACCTGTCTCTGGGCGTTCCCGAGACTGCAGCTCTTTATGGGAATAGACGGCCTCGTCTTTCTCCCACGGAGGGGCTGGTGGTTTGGGGCTGCTGACCGGTAGCCACTGGTTGACACCGGGGGCTCCTCTCCCAATTTACAAGAGGCTGCCAAAATCTCCGAGGGCAGGCTCAGGTGTGGCGTCCCACCTGCTCACCTGGGCGTTGAGGGCGGCCGCCTGCTGGAGCTGGGATCTGCTCAGGGCCTGGCTGAAGGGGTCCCTAAGGAAGCGTGTGTTCTTATGCACCACCTGCCTGGGCTTCTTGAACAGTTGCTCCTCGTCAGGGACACCTGGAAGGTCAAGCCAAGGGGGCGGCAGAAGTCAGCTGGCCCTGCTTGCATGGTGCCCGAGGGAGAGGAGCAGGCACACGCTCAGCACCTCGGCTGCCCCAAGACAGACCAGGACCAAGGCCGCACACACACTACCCACCACCACGCCCGCTTACCCTCTGGGTAGTACATGAGTGAGTTCTTGGCCTTGTATTTCCATGTCTCCACTCCGGCCTTGCCGCTCTCGATGGCTTGATGCTCGGCTGAGGGTAGGGCAAGATTCTCTTGCTGCCTCTGCAAGCACACGGGGTGTGGAGTCGAGGAGTCAGGGAGGCTCCCAGGCACGGTGGCCCCAGCCCAGGGCAGCCCCTCCCCGCCTCCCTTGCAGTGCCACACCCCGGGGGCCACCTTCTCAAACTCCTCCTCAGCCTGGTATAGCCAGGCATGGCGGGCCCGGCTCTTCTCCTTGGCCACTTCCATGATCTCCTGGAAGGAGGCGTTGTCCTCGCTGGTGCAGCAGCTCAGGAAGACGTCCAGGCTGGGCAGCGGCTCCTTCTCCTCCTCCTCCATGGCCTCGCCTGCTCCAAGGTGGGGGGCATGGTCCTGTCACCAGCAGGGACACCACCATACACAGCTACCCATCCCCAGGAGTCACACCACCCTCTAGACAGGGTTGGGACTCTAAGTCCAACTCCACCTGGGAGGCCTACATTCTGTTTCCAAGACACTCGGCAGGCCAACCCAGCAGCCAAGAGAGCTCCAGAGGGGCCCGCATTCGCCTCAGTCACCACTGCTCACCCATGAAGGGCTGAGGGGCTCTTTGGAGGCCGAAGGGCAGGAGACGAGAATCAAGATCAGGGTGCTCTGGCCAAACAACAGACGGCCCTAGAGGGCGAATGCTAACCCCAGAGGAGTATGCAGAGTAGGCACCTTTATAACAAGCAACCACTCGAAACCCAGACCGCAGCATTTGCCCAGGGATGAAACTCGGAAAGGCAGGAAGGGCCAGGAGAAGA